GAGAGAGAGAGAGAGAGAGATTATATAGCTTGCATTGTAAACTGTCCAGAGGGAATGTGCAAAGGGGAAAAAATATAATGAGGAAAATCTGGCCGTGGGTCAGATTATATATGGACAAAGGATTAAATTTAGTAGTCACAGGCAAATAACAAGCATTACTCCATCACTGGTTACTGAGAGAATGCTGGAATTCTTACTCAGGTAGTGTTCCTGAATCAGAACCAGGAACTCCTTCTTTCTCATCAGCCTCTGACTAATAGATGTATCTAAGGTCCTATTTATTAGCTCCGTGTCTGTGCCCCTCACTACCTTTAATGTGTTTGTGCTCACAACACTCTTGTGAGCTACGGAAGTATTCATACACATTTTATGGATGGGGGACTAAGACACAGACAGACCAAGGGCCAGATTTTCCTCATTATATTTTTTCCCCTTTGTACATTCCCTCTGGACAGTTTACAATGCAAGCTAATTGCACCTACTCAGGAGATACTGATAACTTCAAGAAAGAAATAGACCTACATCTCACCACCTAGAAACTGTTTCTTGTGGGTCATCATTGCAAAGGCATTATACCAGTAGATGCCAGCTTTTTCATACTGATAGCCAAAAATTAAGGCAAAAAATAATGCGGCTTATAATTATTTATTAACCAAGCACACAGGAAGCATGAGAATGAGATGCAGAGGCAGAAAGATAGTTAATAAAACAACTCCCCTAAGAAATATACATAATGAGAACTGGCATAAAAGTTCACCGGAACAAGCCCACAAGCTTGCTAATGGTATGATGACTAAAAACTAAAGCCCCAGTCATCTGTGATCATGTTTACAGTGTCAGATCTTTTAAGCGTGCCTGCAGTTGGCTTTCCTAGCCACTGGACTGGCTCCTTACCCTTTATTCACTCCAACACAGAGATTGTTCTCAACACTATCAACTTGCTAACCCCACAAAAATGTCAACAATCTCATAGTAAATTTCTTATTGATCCTCCATTGCCCCCCACACACACCTTCAAGGGCTACTAAGCAGCCCAATTCGTCCCTCAGCAAAGCATTTCTGCCCCAAACTTCCCACCCCACCCCCCTGGAAAAAGGATCACTTACACCTAGCATTTGATGTAAATAGTAGTACTGTGGCCCATGGTAATACAGCAGGAAGGTTTTCCAGAAGAGCCAGACATTCAGGGAGAGCCAGAAAAGCTAAAACGAACAAGACAACAAGAAAGAATGCATGTAAGTGAAAGGCACATGTACAATCCAGAACTTCTCAATATTTCTTTCCATCACACAGCACACATGCAATGAGCTCTCTAAGGGTTTTGCCGCTGAATGAGAAAACGAGCGGAAAGACATTACAAAAACAGCCCCTGCTGGCTGTAAAACTTTTTGTTCTCAGCCAGCCTCCCAAAAGTTTGAATTCGAGGTTGAGTCCTTTAGAATCTTATGTAGCATCTTGCATGCAAACTGTCCATCAAAACTTATGGAGTTAGATGCTGCTATTAAAGAGTCAAAGAATAAATACATAGGAAAGAAAAGACAAATTACGAGACCTAAGCAAGGAAAAGCACATTTTCAGATGAGATCCATGCTTTTTCTGCCCCAACCCTGGAGACTGGCTATACCATAGATCAAACCCGCATGCACCATGCATTGATACACACACATTCATTATCCCTTATTTATAGGGGTGCTGAAACAATTTTTGTAGTGCAGGTGCTGAGAGTCACTGAACCAAACTGTAAGCCCTGTCCTCTAGATGATGGAAACCATTTCACACACACATAGCTACACACGACAGACAGAGACAAATCCCTGGTACACACAATGTACATTAGCCACCCAACCACCCCAGACAGGCGCGTGCAGATGGGACCCAGAGAACACAGGACCGTGCGATGCACACGCGCGTGTAAGGTACATTTCAGGCAGGGCTGCGTGCGTGCCCACGTACACAGAGCCACGCACGGCATGTAAGGTCCATGTGCACACACAGGCGTGCCCGGAACAAGGCAGGCAGCTCCCTGCGGCCCCGCTCCCCAGCACGCACGCGGAGCCCTGGCCGGCCGCGGTCCCCCAGCCCCGGAGAGGCTCGGAGCTCAAAGTTTCTCTGGGCGAACTTCGCAGCGGGCAGAGGCAGCGCCGTGCGCCGGGGGGGCTGCGCCCGGCGAGCTCGGCAGCATCCTACCAGACAGAGGTGCTTGCTCCCCTCATTGGCCAGCCAGCTGCTCCCGCACGGAGCCATGGTGCGAGCCCCGCGCCTGTGGCAGGGCTTCAGGGGCCAGCCGCTGAGCCGGTCCTGCTGCGGCTGCTGCTCAGTCCTGCCGCTCCCCCTCCCCGCCTTCCGGCCGCCGCCCCCGTGCTCTCCCTCCCCGCGCTGCTCTGCCCCCCGGGGGGCCGGCCGGGGCAGGCTCGCGCTCAGCATGCTCAGTTGCATCTGGTGAAGCCCCTGCCCAGACTTGCCCTCGGGCCCTGCTCCCGAATGGGAGAGGAGGAAAGGGCAGGGTGTGAGCTAGGGTGACCAGACAGCAAATGTGAAAAATCGGGACGGGGGTGGTGGGTAATAGGAGCCTATATAAGAAAAAGACCCAAAAATCAGGATTGTCCCTATAAAATCGGGACATCTGGTCACCCTAGTGTGAGCAGCGGTGGGGCACATTGCACCCAGAGGAGGGCAGAAGGGCTTGGGGGGGGGGGGAGAAGAAGGGCAGCTGGGTGCAACTCTGAGCACAGGGGGCATGAGCCAGTTGGTCAGGAAGCTGCAGATGCACTGCCAGACAGTGGCCGGGCAGGGGAAAGGCAGGGGCGAGGCGGGGGGGGGGAATTGACTGGGAATGGGGCGAGCCTTCTGTGGGTTGTCAAAGGGAGATGGGGTGGTGGAGGGGCTTGTGTTCCTCGCTGGATGATGCATGTCAGCATCTCTGCCCCGTAAAGGCCGAGTGGCTAGAATTCAAAGACTAAAGAGTTTTGAGGATCTGGGCTCTAGGAGACTTGATGCAGTTGTAACACCTTCCTTAGACACACGTGCAAACCTGAGCAGGGCTGTGACCCCATGGGCCACTAAGATTTGGCCCAGCTGCCCCTCCATCGTGCCAGCAGGGAAGGGGCTTTGCCTTTAGCACCCAGCTCCGATCGGGGGTGAAGGGTTGGGCCCTGGCCCCCTACTTCCTCCCCCCTTCATTGCACTCTTGCTGAGTTCAGGTTCTCAAAAGCGCTCCCGCATTTTCAGCGCCCCATTCTGCATTAGCGAACAAAAATATATTATACATCGAAAAAACTGTTCAAAGAATGAAGCACTTGAAAGTTAGGAAATGCCAGATTTACCATTGACGGCATGACCTTATTTCTGTCCCCTTGAATGTCCATCCTGTGCACTGAAGGACATGGGGTCCTGTGGAAAAAAATTGAATGTGATCATGTGATTAAAGACTGTTGCCACAGTGCATACAGACAAGGGAGCTGAATTAAGCACTTCACAGGCAACTGTAAATCTGGAATTTCCTTACTTTTGAGGGCTTGACTTTGCAACCTAAATATCATTCTTTTAACATAGTTCTTTATGTGTATGTTTTGTTTTCTTTACAAGGTTTTTTCAAAAATCAGTCAGCTATAGTATCACCCCACACAAGTCACCAGCAGAGCTTGAACACAGAACCTTCAGCATTCACACACACTACTGTTTTTTGAGCAACGGAAGGCTATTTTTCCTGAGTGAAGTAGGGTGATCGGGATGTGATGAGAGGAAGCCTAGCCAACCTGGCTCTTTTCCAATCTTGCCCTTAGAATTGGGGGGAAACTGCCCTACATGTTGCCCCTAGAAGGGGGAATTGGTCGCTAGAGCCGTGTGCCTGGCCCAGGGAGGGTTGGGAGAAGCACAGCCCTATCTCTCTCCCCCTCTGGCCGCAGGTTGTGGGAGAGCCTGCCCCATGAGATTCCCAGAGGGGGGAAGGAATGGGGCACTGAAGTCAAATGATTGAGGGGAGAACCACACCTAACACTCTCCAGTACAGCTGCTCTGGCAGCTCGTTGGTGGTCCCAGTGCAGTGGGTGCTGAGTCTGCTGCTGCTTCTTTGCCTGTGATATGAGCCCAGCCCCAAATGCTGAGTGATTTTGGCAGCTGCTTAATTCTCAAACTGAGGTCCCGGAAGAGCAGGGCTCAGGAGGGCAGCTATACTGAACAGTGCTATTGCTAAGAATGCTGGAAGCAAGCAAAAAAACACATTTGAGGCCAGAGCAGTGATGACATCAGAAAAAAGATGTTCACTACCTGGTTCTTTCTTCTTTTTTTTCTCTCCCGACATTTCTGTTGGAATGTATAGAAAAACTGAAGCAGTTTATAAAGAGAGCCAATTGATAAAATTTGCCCTGCACAATAATTTTGGATGTTACAGTATATGGAGATACACCTATCTCATAGAACTGGAAGGGACCTTGAAAGATCATTGAGTCCAGTCCCCTATCTTCACTAGCAAGGCTAAGTACCATCCCTAACAGATTTTTTGCCCCAGATCCCTAAATGGCCCCCTCAAGGATTAAACTCACAATGCTGGGTTTAGTAGGCCAATGCTCAAACCACTGAGCTATCCCTACCCCTTTGACTATCTGGGGAATGTTCTGAACTGAAAATAAAATTTGCAGGATGTACATTGCCTAGCACAATAGGGCCTGGTTGAGGCCTTAATCACTACCACCATAGACATAAAACAACAAATAATTTGAAGTGTTATTGCAGACTTGACAATATGCTACACAGCATGTTCTTCTTGGAGATGTCTCGGGAAATGAAGTTGATGCAGAACTTTTTCTGCCAGAAGACACATGTTTCAGTGACTGTACTGGCCACCATCTCATTTCCAGGAGTTCACTTCAGCCCTTAATAGTTTGAGTCCAGTGCTTAATGAAAGAGGTGCTGGGGCTTGAGCAATTAGGTGCCAGGGTTCAAGCAAGTTTTTTACATTCATAACTGATGCAGCAAGCCCAGAGGTGCCAAGGCTATGAACTGCTAAGCCTAGAGGTGCTGGGGCTCACCTCCGGCAAGCCCTGGCACAAATTAAGCACTGTTTGGGTCCTAGCTGAATTACAAACTTCCCCTCTCCACATATCTACCAAATCGTTGGGAACAGCTGAGGCACGTGAGCTAACATCCCAAAAATGTACATGAGAGGAGGCAGGGTGGCATGCCATTTTCAGCTGAGAGCCCTTGATTCGAGTTTGCTCTCTCCCTTCTTCAGAAAATCTGAGTTTACGAGTGGTGTGCAGAGCCCAGCTACTATGAGAAGCTTTTCCTGAAGGGAGATCGAAGGGTTAACTGGGGAAGCAGAGAATCATCTCTTCCGACCTAAACCTCTATGAAACTATAATACAGGGTATAAAGTGATATAAATAAGTAAATGAATGCTAATGAGGCCTCTCAAAGTTAATTTAGGGAATAAGAGCGCTGTCTTATTTAATATATTTTGTTATATATTTAGCTCTTTATTTAATATATTTTGTGACATGTATTTGAAGCTGATGCTCGCTCATCCTCACCACACTGTCCTAAACGCACGGTGGCTCTTCTCCCGTTTTCATACTGTTCCACCTCATCCATTGTCTTACTAGGTGTGTTGGTTGGAATACACTGGATGGAGCACTGTATTCAGTGCAGTACTCTTCTTCCTTCAAACACTCTATGAAGAAGTGGGCTGTAGTCCACGAAAGCTTATGCTCTAATAAATTTGTTAGTCTCTAAGGTGCCACAAGTACTCCTGTTCTTTTTGCGGATACAGACTAACGCGGCTGCTACTCTGAAAGTTATGATGAGACTGTTTCTTCTAGATTAGTATCACTAAACCTAAATCCACCATCCAAGTCTACTGTTATTCTAGTCTCTCTCCATGATACTCATGACCCCCTACACCAAAGTACCTGAGCACCACACAGTCTTTAACATATTTAGCCTCACAACACCCCTTGAAGTAGGGAAGTGCTGTTACAGATTGGGAAGGTACAGGGAGACTAATGGTAAACTTTTTGAAAGCACCTACAGCCCAGATCCACAAAGCTGTTTAGGTTCCAAATGTCCATTGAAATCAATGGATGTTAGGAGCCTAAATATCTTTGTGTATCTAGGCCTAGATGACTTAAGAGCCTAAGTTTCATTGACTTTCAATGAGGCTTAGGCTCCTATGTCACGTAGACACTTTTGAAAATTTTACCTTACATGATTTGCGCACGGTCACACAGGAAGTGGGGTAAAGCAGGGAACTGAACTCTGGTCATTCACATCCCAGGCAAATAGGCCACACTTCCCCTACTACTCTTTGAAAATAGCAAAGTAACAATGACAGCTAGTTACTTGGACTTTGTTCAAAAAAGCACTCCGTTATTATTGTTTACGCAGGTACAGCTTTATGCGGCGCTAAAGATTTCCCTCCTCATCTAACCCCTCGCTTCAGAGTTTTTTGCTCTCCCTTGAAAAAACAATTAATAGATTCAAACAGGAACACTGCAAGTGTTGGAGCAATGTAAAAATAAAACAGAAGAACTGGCCCATGCATGACTTCCTGTATTTGTTAAAAACATTCTGATTAAAATTAAGCTATATGCTGTTTGTCTATAGTGTGTGATTCAGTATCATGTCACAAGGTTAAAATGATGTCCAATATTTATATCACTGTTTTCAATGCTGTGTAAGAGGAATATCCTACACAAAGGGCACCTGTCCTTTAAGGCATTTCATTTTGTATCATTTCTCTTATTTTTTGAAACTGGATCTTTTCATCTGCTGCATGCCATACAATAAACTCTGTTAGGAATGGCTCCCTGACTGACTCTACGGTCTCCCTAGGGTCTGAAGCGATAGCTGCTTCTGAAGATCTGGGGCTAGAGCCTCCACAAATGTAAATCAGTGTACTTCATTGACTTCAGTGGGGCAACAACAGTTTGCACTAATTGAAGAGCTGGTTCTTGATTCCTATAGAAATAGCAAAACCAGTAACTAGCCATTAGAGAAAGTGTTTGTTAAATTTAGCAATGACATTAACAGTGTAAGTTTTGCTTCTGTTAATAGCCCTCCAAACCACTGAGCCCAATTTTCACTGTTAAATTCCATGCTACAAGTATCACAAAATATAGCATGAGGTCATGTAACATTATGTCCTCAAATAACCTCCCACACATTCCTACTTTCAACAGGAAAAGACTGAACACCAACTCCAGCGCACAGCAGTAACACTGATTAATATAATGGAATGCAAGTAAGCAGCACATGCAGGGAAAGTGTGTATAATAAATACAGCTGCAGTGCATTCCATGACAAACCGGTGAAAAGTATTATTTGCATTCATTTGTCCTACTGATTATAAAACTTGCCTTGGGTTTGTAGGTTCTTTACAGA